GAACCCTATGAATAAAACTTATTTATAGAATGGTTCCTCATAAAAAAAAAACCCACCAAAAACACCTTCAAATGACCTCAATATGTGAACGTGGCATCAATGTGGAAATGTCCAATGAACACCACGACCAATTTTGCTTGCAATTTACATTCACGTACCATCAACCAATCATCATCCACTAAACGGTAATGGCTCAACAGTATTATTAAGTGGTTAGTCAACATTCTCCCGTTAAAAGTCGACATAATGAATGAATTATGACGATATTTAAAAAAAAAATTGAATTACATATTTCCTGTATCACAATATATAATATCTCAATATAATGCTTATTTCAATTCCAAATTTTAATGTCATTTTTCAAAATAATCAAACAAATGTGTACACAAATAAAATATAAGAAAAATCAAGTTTAATAGATTTCATTATAATTGTTCTTACAACAGAAAATTTATAAGGTGGGAACGAGTCCCATATGATTACATGATCTTTACATTTGTGTGATGACATGTCTTTAATTAAATGATCAACTAACATCTACTCAATGTTAATATACATAATAATCATTTTCTTTTCTTTAATGCGTTTACTTATGGCTAAATACTTAGTGTAAAAAGGAAATTTTTGATCTCAGGACGAGGAGGACTAAAAAATAATTAAACCATTATTTAAGTTGGTGAGACTTCTATAGTAAGAGTAGAGGTGTGTAATGAGTTGAACACCTCGTGAGTAGTTCAAACTCAACTCGGTCAAAATTTGATAAAAGCTTGACTCGAGTTGACTCGACTCGAACTCTAGACCTTAACGAGCTGAGTTGAGCAATGTCCAACTCGACTCGATAAGTTAGCGATCAACTCGTTAAATTTTTTATAATTTTTTACTAGTTATATTAAAAACTCATTTCATTAAAAATTACTAATTTACTAAAAATGAATAATTTATTAATTTTCTAATAAATAATTAATTATTATTATTTTACTACACTAAAAAATAAGCCCTAATTATTATTTTAATATATTTATGGATTGTTATTCTGGAGTTTAGACTTTCAATTTGTTTCATACACTCTTTTGATAATCTTTTGATTAAATGTATCAATTTATGTTTATATTAAGCTCTATATAGTATTAGTAGATTTTACCCATAGTTAAAAAACAAGATAAAATTTTTTGTGAGTTTAATGAGTAAAGAGACGAGCACGAGTCGAGCAAAATTTTAACGAGATTAATAAGCAACGAGTCGAATCAAGCAACAAAAATTCTTAACGAACACGCGTTGAGTATTATCCAACTCACGATCGACTCACTCGATAAGCAGCCCTAAGCAAGAGAGAATGAGAAAGTGTTGGAGAGCAAGAAAAAGAGATTTAAATATTGTCGTACATTGAGATAGTGTATCTTTAACCCTAAAATTCATCTTGAAAGTTATAAATGTGATGCTTTATGTTAAATATTTGCATGTTGGATATTTTTTTTAACTTGTAAACTATTTCTATAACACATCAAAGTCTTCGTAATGACTCATGTTGTTAAGTGGAACCATGGTCACTCGTATAGTTTATTTTTTTTTTCTATCTTATTTTGAGCCCAATTCTTTTTAAAATCAAAATCAAACCTAACCTTGGCCCACTAATCTTAATTAAGGTTGTTATTTGATTCATCTTAATTCAGGTCAACGTACAAATATTTACTTTTTCTTTAAATATGAACCTTATTAAAAAATGAAAATTATTTAAAATTACAATAAGAGTTTAAAACTATCATCGTAAATTAATATATAATTTGGACATTTTTCTATAACATAGAAACTAGTCACTTTAGATTATACAAGGACCACACAAAGAAAAGGTTAAAAACCATCCAAAAGACTCAAACGAAAAATAGATATGAATAAATATGACTACATCAGTAAATGAGCCATAAAAGTGTATTAAGTTGTTGAAATACCACCGAGAATTGCAAATCAGATCCAAGCGTCATGAGAAACTATCTACGAACGTAAAATTGCTTATCCAAATTCAATCTAAGGGTTCATAGTAGGAAAGATCTACAGGATCACAAATAAAAGCTATCTTGATCAGTTGTGACGTCGTCAAATCCAATCATGAGATAACATAAAATAAAAAGAACGGTCAAACGATAAAAAAGACAAAAAATGTTTCACAAAAGCAGAGAAAAACGTGCTATGAAGTAATTTTATTCTTATTAAAAAAAGAGAGAATCAACAGTCGTAACCAACATCTAAACCGATGCCACCATCGATTAAATAAAATCAAAGAAAAAAAGTTAATCTGAGCTATAAAAATGACATAACCTTAAAGGGAAAAAAAAGAGAGAGTCTAGAGTTCAAATATTGACTTTAAAATGTGAGTTGTTATTCAATTCACACATTATGATGCAATTTTATTTTAGGGGTTTCACCACACCTGTATCTGGGCCTGATCAGGAGTAGACCCGTATTTGGGCCTAGGCAGGAGGGTACCTGTCCAAGGCCTCCAATCAAAGGTTAAAATTAATTTTCCTTTTCCCTATCGAGAGATTAAATCAAAAAATTAAAACTATTTTTCTTCTTTTCGTTTTAAATTACAACAAATTATGCTTAGACTTACTTTTTTTAAGCTAGTAATTCTCTTTTGATATTTTCTTATATTAGAATTTGAATGCAGTTGTCAACTAAGCTACAAAGGTTAAAAGTCACTCAACTAAGTTAAATATATTTTATTAATTTATGATTGTGTTTTAATTTTATTTATATATATATATATATTCTGAATTTTTAAATATATTCTGAATTTTTTGTTATGTTTATACTTTGTGGTTGTCAATTATATTTTTTTATTGTTTTCTTTTGTTAGTTATGAAATGTAAGTGAGAGTGTATTACTTCGTCGATTAATTTATCTAAAAGTGATGTAAAATTCAACGAAGATGACTCAGATGCTATTATTCTATATTTTTGCTTCATTTTTAGTACTGCGAAAATATGCTTCCGGTAATGAAAAAAAATCATACAATCACAAAAGGAAACTTTATGTATACTCTTAAATTTTATTATTTATTATTTGTTATTGGAGACCATATTTTTAAATTCGTCCCGGATGACCAAAATCTCATAAACGGATATTGTTCCACACCATTATATGATATACTCACTGTATATTTCTTTGTGCCAATATGTTATTACAAAATTTTAAAATAAAATATTTTAGATTTATTTTTTTTATAATATATTATTAATTTATTGTTTTTGTATAGAATAATATATCATTAATATTTCAAATATTATTTATTTAAAATATTTAAATATTCTTCATAAAATATTTATTTGAATGATTGATGCATAATTTTTTGATGCAGAAAACGAAAGTTCCAATTTTTCTAAATTCTACAAATTTAAAATAGTAAAGCTATGCAAAATTATATATATATATATATATATATATATATATATATATATATATATCAAATGATCCCCGATTCAGACTAATATTAAAAGTTTTAAAATGATCCCTTGATTATATGGTGTTGTTTTATTGAGTCTCTCGACAAGTTACAAAGTTATCCCCGACTATTCATATTTTTCAAAATGTTCTTTTTTCGTTAAAAAATTGATGAGAGTCGAGTTAGACGTTAACTTGCTGACTGAGATATGATAAAATTTGATCATAGAATCTCAAGCAACTATCATATTCTAGTTAGTATGTAAACATCCAGATCAAACGACCATTGATTTTCTAACAAAAAAAAGTTTGGAATATATGACTAGTAATCATTTTATAACTTTTAATAGTCGAAGGACTTAACAAAAGAATTGTTGAGAAAATCATTTTGTAATTCTTAATAGTCATAGAAATCAACAAAGTATTGTCCTATTGTCGGTGGACTATTTGTATATTTTACCCTATATATTATAGATAATAACACGTGTTTTTGGTTTAAACATTGTACACTGAACCTTTAGCAAAACTACAAGTGTTTCCATATGGTGGCAGAAGAATAAACAAACACGATATTTTATTAAATTTTTTTATTAGTTTATAGATCTTTAATTTGGTTAATATCATTTTTATTAATTTTAAATTGTGAGATTTAATATTTTCTTTTAACAAAATAAATTTATTTTGTCTTTTAGATATTATTTGTTAATTTTTTTTAAAAAATATATAAATATTTCTAAAAAAACCTTTTCAAATATATGAAAAAATAATTAGTAATTCATATAATACATTTGAAGTTATTTTATTATTTTTAAAATATAAAATATTTATTTTATATTATGCAGTAATTAAAATTAAATAAAAATAAAATTTTATTCAAATAATCATCATTTTTAAATTTATGGACTATAAAGGTTTTAAACATTATGATTCGGATTAATTTTCAGTTAATCGATTTTTGTTGTTTAGTCCTATAAATTGTGTTGATTTGATCTTTTCCCTTCTTCTTGATAATATCTTTTACTAATTAGTTCCTTGCTTTCATGATATCATAATTAATGGTATCGTGCTCTTGATAATGTTTAGTGGATCCCAAAATTGATTGGAGATGTCAGATTTCTAAATCCTGTAGAAATTAATTTTAAAATAATGAATAAAAACCATGAGAATGAAACCTTGTTTTTATAACACTTTTTTTAAAATTGTTAAACGTAATACAATAATCTTTTTAACTCATTAATTGGTTTTAGTGGTCTAGACGAGTGTTGTTCCTTACAGAAATTTGATATTTGAGCAATTAAGTCTGTAAGTGTATTATCTATAACTAGAAAATATTATAAACAAATATTACCTTATACTCATCTATATTATTAAAAAAATTAATGTTGACGTGGGCAAGATTTCACGATTTTGCTTTTTGGGTATAAAATGGATTTGCTGAAGAAGCAACAATGGTGCCTTTTTTCTGGCATTAGCAATTATTTGCCATTTTTCTTCTCAAAGAGAGAGGTGTACGAAGAACAAAATATATCATTGTTTCAGGGAAGAAGAAGACAACAAACAAGTGAAGTAGATTAATTAATACATAATAAAGGGAGACCACATACATGCATAATACTTGATACCACATTTTTTAATCACCCAGCTGCTAATCCTTTACATCATCTTCCCTAATATGCTACTAATTTCAATAATAATACAAAAGAAAGAGAATACAAAAACAACCCATACCAGCAAAGTTTCACCATTTCTTTTTTCTAGTATTCAAACATCATATCTGCAGATGCCATGATGGGTTGGTTCAGATGAGGGATATCAAAAGCGTTGGTGGTAAACCTTTCATCACTCGTTTCAAATCCCTCTGTTTCATACACCCCATTGTTGAGATAATGGAGGATCTCGTTGAGAGATTCGAGTCTTTGACTCAGTTCCATCATCTGAGCCCTTAGGACCGAGTTCTCAGCCTCCATGTTCAGGTAGTGTTGGGTGGTGAAGGTGATGCTAGAGAGGATCTGGCTATTATCCTTGGCTAATTGACTCACTTGAGCCATTAAATCGTCTAAGTGCTTCTGTTTCCTCATCCTTGACCTCCTTGCTGATTCCCGGTTGGACTCCATTCTCTTTCTTTTTCTTTGATCCATCAACTGGTGCAAGACTTCTTCAGATCCCGATGGCACCATGGAACCTGCGGAATTCGAGTTTCCACTAGACGAAGCCATAAATTATATATATCTTTACACCAAAATCACGGCTGAGAAGTTGGGAAAAAAAGGAGATACTAAATATTATATATGATAGCAGCAGTAATATATGAAAGAGAAGGATTTAGAGAGAGATTATTTATGAAAACACATAGAACCAGTAGAGGAAAACAACAGAGAAAGATTGAACGAGATGGGTCCTGCGTCTGAGGGAGGAATTTATCATAAACCCCGAACGGAGTATTTCACTCACAACTGGAGACATGAATCTCGAACATCAAGATTTCACAGCATATGAACAAATCTAAGAGGATAAACCCAAACCAGCAGAGCTTGGGCTCTACAAAAGCCGAAGAATAAGAGGAAGAAGAAGAGGCCTGGATTTCTACGAGGGGGGGAAGAGAAGAAAACTGGAAGAGATTTTTTGAGAGAAATGACGAGGGAATTTATAGAAGAAAAATAAACACAAAAAGCATTGGAATCTCCTTCATGAGGGTCGATTAGGCATGTGGGGTGGAGACCAATTTCCCACATACGTCCAATTCCAGCTGCTCGCCATTACTCTCACCATACAAATTATTTAATCATTACAAAATATATATATATATATATATATTCTCAAATGTTGCTTGTACTGTACTTTACTATTAATAAGGAGCATTTCACCCTTTTGTTTTAAGTTTCATAATTGAAATTTTAAAAATTAAATTATCTTATTTTTAATTTTAAAAAAAAATAATTTAATAATTTAAAATATTCATATTTTAATAAGTTCTGACTAAAAATGTAATATTAATGATTATAAAAATTTTGTTTCAAAACCTATTAAATCATTTTAGTGATTAAAGAATATGTTATTGTTTCTAGAAATTTCAAGGTCCACTAATTATGTAGGTAGAGTATATATAATCAATGATTAAGAGAAATTATGAACGTACACTACTTATAATCAATTCACACAACTAAAAAATAATTTTTTTTTGATTTTTTAGTTGACTAGTTGTGTAATTATTCAATTACTTACGATATTAAATCCCATAAAATTTTAAGAGTTAATATTGTATATTTACTTCATGTACTATTTTTAAATTATACATATTTTTAGTTACAACTAATTGATTTATTATATTGTCCCTGTAACAACCCGATTTTCAAAATAATATTTAATTGAAATTGGAGGGTTTAATTGTGAAAATTGGCGAAAATTGGGACTAAATTGAAAGATTTTAAAACTGGGAGCTTGTTTTAGAGTTAAAGAAAATTTAAGGACCAAGCCCTGAATTTATCCTTGGAGTGTCGGCAGACATTTGTTATTTATGCGTAATTTCTGTTTTGAAAAACATAAATCAATTTCACAAATTCTTCCTCAAGCACACAACTTCCAAACTCGATCCCGACGCCGTCCGAATTCCAATCGTTTTGAAACCACCGTTGTGTTAATCATCGAGCGAGGAACAAACTCTTCAAATTAATTGAAGCGAAACGCGGCCAAACGTCGGGAATTTACAGTCAAAGTAGCGACATTTTTGTTAGCTCTATCGCCGAGAAAATCTTAAATTCACCGCTGATCGTTGCTCCGTTTACGATACCTCCCGCACCATCGTGTTCCTTGTGCCGTTCCGAGTCCACTGGTGTTCTCCTTTTTCTCTGGCGGCGGCGACGCGTGGGGAGGTGAACCGGTCAAACTTCCCGATTTGATGAATTCGAGCTCTCCGCCGTTCAAAAATTTGAACCGAGCTTTGTAAGTATCTTGAAAACGCTCAATAATTTTTAGAAAATTTTCCGTAATTTTTAGAGCCCCGGATGACACCTCACGCGCCACACGCGCCGCCGTAGGGCGAGTGAGTGACCGGTTCAATCGGTTTTCTTAAGGGTTTGACCGGTCACAACCTGACCCGTTGACCCGACCCGACCCGTTGACCCGACCCGATCGTTGACCGTTGACAGGTGATATTCTGGTAAATAATTCGGTTTTGGTGCTATTCTGGTAAATAATTCAGTTTTGGTGCTATTCTGGTAATTAATTCGAAATGGGTGCTATTTTGGTAATTATTTTAGAAAGGATGCTATTTGTGTAAAATGTTCAACAGTTTGTTGACCTCCTTTGACTGGCTTTGACCGGCTATTAAACGATCGTTAATCTTTTTCGAGTATACCTATCCTGATAGTTTTTAACGTGCCGAATCCGTTTCCGTGGTCCGTTTTGTCAAATTCGAACCCGAAGGCCTCCAAATCGACGGTCAAAGTGGTTGACTTTGACTTTGACCAAGAATCTGAATTTTTGGAAAGTTATACTTTATGTTTTTCGACGTCCTGATTCTGATTCCGCAATCCGTTTGGCCAGATTCATACTCGAAATACCCCAAATTGATAGTCAAACCCAAAAAATGCTTATATACTTAAGAAGTTTAGCTTTGAACAATTAAATAGGATTTGAGACTGATAAATTATTATTGTTTGAAGGTACAAGAGACTCTCCGGATCGTTCGACAGCTCGACCCAGCTTTTCTAGATCAGTTAAACCACGTGTGTCAGTATTCACCCGTTCGAAAACTGTATCAAAGCGTGGTGAAACTAGCAATCAGTAGATTTGCTATTTGAACCTATTGTCGAGGTGTGTTCCCTACTTATTACTGAACTGTTTTATTGGTTTTAATATGTGATACACTGAATTCATTAGTTATTGTTTTATGGATGCACCAATTTAATGTGACAATTTATGGAATATGGCTGCTATCTAATTTTTGTTTTGAAATGGTATATGATTACCATGTTTTTGGATTGATGGAATTTATGTCACGGTGCAATTGAATTTTGGAATTGAATTTCGATGGAATAGCTCTGATCAAGCTAAATGGGCCTAATATGACTCTTGAGGGCCCCAAGATGTTTCATTAGGTCGGCTTTCCTTTGCTGTGTGCTTAGGGTAAGCTATATGGACTTATTGACTTGGGCTTAAAGATACAAGCTTCATAGCCTATCCTTAAGTCGACTTTCTTTTTGCTATGTGCATAAAGTAAGCTATATGGAAAATAATTTTAGGAACTACTGATGGTGTACCAGAAAAGGGTTTAAACTATGATTTTCAAAAGTTAAACTCTTTTATGAATTTGTGAGATTTACTGGACTATGATTTGTACCTATTGTGATTTTATGGAAATATTGGGACACACTGAGCCTAGCTCACCTTTCGAAAATATTTTCCCCCTTTCAGATACTGTTGGTTAGATACCTCGGTTCGAGCACTTGGAGGATCAACATATCTCTTGAAGTAAATCATATTGTAATGTTTTTATTTTGCAAGTTGACTTTATTTTGGTGACATGGACCTTATTTTAAAATATCGGATTTTATAATGATGACTCTTTTGCTATTACTGTTCGGTTTATTGTGATTTTGAATTTGAAGACATGTTTTAAATTAATTTATTACTTATTGGTACTATATTTACGAGTTGGATTTTGATAGTATAATTTGTTTATAATTTCATGTTATTTATAATGTGATTTTATATTGATGGAATAACGGTTTCGAAAAAATGTCTTTAATAATCATAATGTGATCCACTAGACTTAGTCGAAATGCATAGGCCGGGTCTAGGGGGTTACATTTATTGGTATCAGAGCTTTTGGTTTTTAACCCTCGGACTGTGTATGAGTCCACATTGAAAATACGATTTTGAAATATTTTACAAAACAAGTTACAAAGGCCATGTCATAAAATTATTAAGATTTTTAACTGTGTTTGAGACTCCAAGTGTTTATCTAGCCCTAAGTTTTATCTTCTGTAGTAAACTTGAGATCCATCAAAATGAGTGCTAGACGTGGTCGTCGAACTAGCCGTGGACGAGGTCGAGTGGCTAGATTCGCAGATCCGATCGATGAGATACGGGTAGATCCCCTACCTCCGATAGGTGATCATGCTCCTACGACCCCAACGGATCTGCCTCCTGCCACTGGTATTGGTATGACTACACCGAACATAGGAGCGACGGATATTGAGCCCGAGTCTACCGGAGTTACATTGGATGAGAATTTTAGTAGACAGTTTCTGCAATTAATACAGGGAGCAGTCAGAGCTACTGGTGTTGTATCTGAGGTTCCTATTTCACAGACGTTGATTGCCAATGGAGTTAGAACTTTTGGGGGATAGATTGGTGGAGCTCCTTCTGAAGCTGAAGATTGGCTCCAGGATATAGAGAGACGCATGAATCAGTTGGGTTTGGACTCAACTAAGAGATATCAGGGTGCTGTGGCGATGTTAGATGGTAATGCCTACACTTGGTGGGAGTCAGTGACCAGTAGTGTTCCTACCGATCGTTTGACCTGGAATTTCTTTAAGGATCGCTTTCGGAGCCGTTTTCTGGGAGAGCGCTACTTAGCTCAGAGACGACAACAGTTTCAAGACCTGGTTCAGGGAGACATGACTGTTTCTGAATATGAGATCGAGTTCCTGAAGTTGCTGAAGTATGGATTCAGTATGGTACCTACGGTGAGAGATCGATGTCGTAAATTTGCCCTTGGACTCAGATACGAGCTGCGTAGGCAAGTTGTAACCCATCAGGATGGTATATTTGATGTGCTGGTGGGCAAAGCTAAAGATACGGAAGAGGTGAAGGTTTTATCTTCTGGTAGAGAGTGTGTTGATCAAGAACGATCTAATAAATTTTCAGGCCCTGTTGAGTCATCAGCACAGTCCGGGAAGAGGACTCGTACTTTGGCCCCTCAGAGAAGCAATACACGTTTCAGGCCTGCAGCATCCTCACTTTTAGCTGTCAGTCGAGGCGGTTCTTCTTCATATTATAATGGGCCCCTTTGTGAGTATTGTGGTAAACAACATACAGGAGAGTGTCGTAAGAAGATGGGTCTTTGCTATCAGTGTGGATCTAGTGGTCATTATCGGAGGGATTTTCCTCAGCTAGCTTCGTTTGAGCAGACCGCTACCTAAACTCCTGTGCGTTCGCAGACTACAGTACAGACCCCAATTAGAGATCGTAGTCAAGGAAAGACTCGAGGATCAGCGTCCAGGACAGACAGTAGAGCCCGACCTCAGCAAAATAGAGGGCCAACAGCTTCTGAGGCTAGATTGCCAGCTTTGGTTTATGCCACTAGACGTCGTGATGACAGAGATGAGCCTAAGGTTATTGCGGGTACATTTACTATTTATTCTACTCCATACTTTGCATTATTGGACAATGGCTCCACTCACTCCTATGTATCGAGCTCAGTATCTCGAAACCTTCAG